CGTAAACCTACACGGGAATCCCATGTCTGATCCCATGTCTGTTAATATTGGGACTAAGGCACGTTTTGTCGCAACAACATGTTGGACCAAAATAAATCTGCCCTCTGCATAAAATAACACCTCAAGGAATGTGAAGAATTTTGTCCCCGAGTTCATCGAGGACTGTAGTGTCAAACGAAACCCTCTGGTGTTGCAACGACTGAATATCCTGAGTATGTTACGACGGGCCTCATTCTTCAATCTTGAATCTTTTCCAGTCACGTCATTTACAAGCCCCCCAAAATGTGAAGAATTTTTGTCCCCGAGTTCATCGAGGACTGTAGTGTCAAACGAAACCCTCTGGTGTTGCAACGACTGAATATCCTGAGTAACGAATTCTTCAATCTTGAATCTTTTCCAACGTCATTTACAAGCAAATAACAAAATAACAAAACAAAACAAAACACAAAAATAAAACAAACCAACAACAAAAAAACAAAACAAACACAAACACACACAAACGGTTATGGCAATTGTGCTGATAACGTGAGTGACTTCAGTTTTACGCCGCCTTTAGCAATATTCCGGCAATATCACGGCGGGGGACACCAGAAATAGGCTTCACACATTGTACCCATGTGGGGAATGGGACTTGGTCTTAGGAGTGACGAACCAACGCTTTAACCACTAGGCTATCCCACAATCATGGGCGGATCCAGGAATTTTGAAAAGGGGGGGGGGTTGGGGGGTGTCGGACCCCCTGAACACACACACCCCACCCCACCCCCGGATCCGTCAGTGCCCACAATCAACCGGGTTATCAAGACCGACCAGTTACAGTTGATTTCATTTGAGACCGATGAATTGCTCACTATAACTTTGTTGTCACTTTTCGCTACTTTGTAGGAGGGGGAACAGCTAGGCAATCAACAAGCGTGTGTAGTGAAATTTCAATTTCACACGTGCAACTCGCACACCTGACTGTTCTACCAGCCAGTGGTCCCCCAAATAAAATATAGCGAAAAGTGACAACAAAATAATGATCGTTTGTAAAACAACTTTTTTTATTCGGGTGTCCAAAATTATGAGACAAATCATCAGAGTTGGTCTGTCGATTTCATGTCACTGTGCAAAATCTGGTTTTGTTGCATGTATTAGATTGTGGGCGACTTTGTGTTAGTGAGCAATTCATTGGTCTCAAATGAAATAAAACGAACTGTAGTTGCCAGTCTTGATTTAGCAAGCAGTAAAATGAAAAGGTCATCCAGGTTTATAGTTTGGTATACATGTTTGTAGGTAAAATTCTTATAAAATGTCCACACTTATGTAAAAAACAACAAAGGTCAATATATCAACGCAAATCCTTTTTAATGAACACTGCCTGTCTGGTGATAAGAACTGTTTAAACATATTAAATAGAAAAAACAACAAATATTAAAACTTAAAAAGTAGATAGTATTCTAAAATATAATGAATGCATGTTGTATTTTGACCCGTTTGCCAGTAAATAGTCAATAAATGAGTCGAGTTGATCATTCAGTCAATGCATGAGTAACAGTCAATCCACTATCATCACAATCAAACAAGGTACAAATTGTCACACCTGTAATTAAACAAACTTCACCTGTGGGTGCAGGTGTATGGTCCTTACATGCCGGGAGTGGTCAATTGAGGATGGGGTACCTCGTGAATTTTGCGACAGATATTCCTGCGGTCCAAAAATTTCAAAACACGATGCATGTTTCTTCTAAAAGACAAATAACGATATACTTCTTTACTCACATAAGGATATAGCAATTACATTACTGATTTTTAAGATTGCACTGCGACACTTTGTGCTCTTCCAGACCCGAAGATCACCTCTAATTAAATGACTGAAAATAAAAGAAATGTGAGCACCTAAAACCCTTCATCTCAAAATATACAGTTCCACAGGCATTTTTACTACATCTGTATCTCAAACTCAAATAACCAAATATTTTCCCTAACACCAAACAAATTTTATTTCTTGTTTTACGGATTTTTTTTGTCTTCAGAAAACCTAAAGGCAGGAGGGGAAAACAATATAAAATCACCAGTCAAAGTAATATTCCTTCGAAATACTGAAGTTATTTTACTTTCGGCAATTTTTGAAGTGTATACTAGTATGGGGCAAAAAACAATCTAAAAACACATTTCTTGTAAGTTTACATTTTTGGCCAATTTAAACATTAGGATTTTATTTTTTGAAGGGAAAATGAACTTTTATTTTTCTTTCTTATTATTGAAAGGATCCGTAAAAGAAGAAATAAAATTGGTCTGGCCTAAGGAGAAGAAAACATTATTGTTCCGAAAACAGTAACACTCCCCCAAAAGATATGTGTGTATTGCAGACAGGAAACATAATAATTGGCACACTAGAGAAATAAGTTTAATTCACCCGTTTTTATTTCCAAAAGCAGAATATTTCTTTTACCCTCCTTCAATGAGGTATTTGATAAAAAAATCCACACAAGTAACTACTTAGTTTAGCCTTACAGCAAGAAATAAACTAGTTTAGCCTTACAAGTGCTTACGTAAGTTGTTTTATGCCACTTTTACCAATATTCCAGCAACATCCCTGTGATGGGAATACAGAAATGTGCTTTACACATTGCACCCATGGGAGGAATCAAACCTGGGTATTCCGAGTGGCGAGCGAACGCTTTCACCATTAGGCTTCACTCACTAACTGTTCACCTAGTATGCAGAAATGTAATTCTGACATTAAAAACCCATAACACGACTTGATCTTGAATAAAGATTTTACTGACATCATAAACACACTAACAGAAACAGCACAACACATGTATATATTATACATCTAACAGAATCAGCACTTTAGTGATGCATAAAGTTTGACAGTCGACATATCGCACTTAACAATCTTTGTCATTTTATGTTCTGAATATTCAGTCCACATTTATGCCTTCAAAAGCACAGGCCCTCATGTCTTTGCGAGGATTAAAGATTTTAAAAATATATATAAAAATTTGAGATGACCCCTGACTCAAAATGCTTCACAGTACAATACATCTTGTACTGTGAAGCATTTTGAGTCGGGGGTCATCTAAAAAACAACATTCTTTTAATCTTTAATCCTTGCAAAGTCACGAGGGCCTGTGTTCAAAGGAGGTTCATCTACAAGATAGACAACATAAACTCAGGTTTTCTACCCTTCGCTTTCAAAGGTATTTCATGATCAAATATACTATTCAAATTTTAATATTGTCAGAACAAGGCACAAGGTTGCATGCAAATCTGTTTTGACCTCCAGGAAAGGTCAATGAAACTGATCAGACATTATTAAATGGCCTTCTTACCTTCCCATACATCGTGAGATACAAGAATTATGAAAATGTGTGAAAACTACTGATGATTTAAACTTCATGACAAAACCTGAGAACTTGTTTGTTGTTCAATGTTACACTCAGCAATATTTCAGATACCTGATATAGATGTTGATACCATTAATTCCATGACAGAATGAAATGTTTCAGTGTCCAAGCTCAGTAGTACAGATCTACCTGCATGTGGATACTATCAGTTTGAAAATATTTGGAACTTAACATTCTTTTTCTCCAGAACTGCTTTTTTTTCCAGAATATTTCTTCAGAGATTTGTTCCACAATAGCATTTGGTCATAGCTCTGCTCTGTGGAAAACTATATTGATAACACCAGTAAGAGTAATTGCAGTGGGGACTAAGACTGATGATGATGATGATGATGATGATGAAGATGATGAAGATGATGACATTCTTCAAAGGCATTTAGAAGTTGATGTAGTAATACAAGACAAATCTTATGGATAATATTATACATCTAACAGAATCATCACTTAGATGTTTTACAATAAGAACAAGAATGTTTACACAGCAGAGTGGTTGGGATTCTATAATATCATGGTGATGCACCAGGCTCTAGGGAGGTAAACCCCTTGATCCCTGTTGATCTCGGGTACTAATCTTCTTATGTTGATTGATTTAAGAAGTTTTCTTTTGTGCCAATTACTGATGTTGGAAGCCAGGATTTCAGTGTGTTGCCAGTTGATGGAGTGATTTGGATTTTTGACAATATTTTCTGAGAGGGCAGATTTGAGATCAGATTTTCCAACTGAAGTTTTATGTTCTTTTAGTCTTGTGTTGAAGGGCCAACAAGTTTCTCCAATATAGCTGCTTCCACAATCACAACTAATTTTGTAGATGCATCCTCTGGGATTGGGTTCGGTCTGGTTGCTGCTACCTCTTCCATTCGCTCTCAGGATTGATTTCAAAGTTTTATCAGAATAAAATGTCACATCAACACTGGATGTTTTTCTAAGAAGTCGGCTGATGTGATGACTAATCTGGCCTTGGTAGGGAATGTTGATCCGGATGGGAGCTGGTTCGGGTTTGGGTGGACCGTCATTTTGTTGATGGGGGATTGTGGCTACGGTCTGCTCAACAAGTTGTTTGGGATATCCTTTGAGGGTGATGAAGGTTGTTTTGAGGTGGTCGACCTCTGCTGTGTAAACATATTCTTGTTCTTATTGTAAAAACATACCCTATCATCGTATTCTTCCCTTTCATCTCATTGCATTGTTTGTACATGCTTAATTATATCTCCTTTCCCCCTTGCGCTTGTATATACTTATGTACATATCTGGCTTCCTGTACATCATTATATATATATATTGTATTGTTCACTATGATTATTATCCACCTGACGAAGGGGCAAGAACTAGACCAGAAATGTTGTGTAAAATAAATAAAAAAGTTGTTATCCATAAGATTTGTCTTGTATGATGATGATGATGCCTCATGAGTGAGTGAGTGAGTTTAGTTTCCCGCCGCACTCAGCGATATTCCAGCTATATGGCGGTGGTCTGTAAATAATCGAGTCTGGACCAGACAATCCAGTGATCAACAGCATAAGCATCGATCTGCACAATTTGGAACCGAGGACGTGTGTCAACCAAGTCAGTGAGCCTGACCACCCGATCCCCTTAGTTGCCTCTTACGACAAGCATGGGTTACTGAAGATCAACATTCTAACCCGGATCTTCACAGGTAAAACACCAGTAAAAGTAATTGCAGTCACTAAGACTGATGATGATAATGATGATGATGATGATGATGATGCCTCATAAGTGGAGGGAGCTGATTGGATTCTATACCTTCGAAATGGCCAAGGTATGGGTTAGTACCTGTTGTCAGAGTGACATTATAGTTAATGCTGTTTGTCAATGTGAATTGAGTGGATGATTCGACATTTGGATTTCAAACTGCATTTGTGAAGGGTCCTTATTGGCTACTTTTACCTGATTGGTCAGAAAAAAAGTATTTTCTCAAGTAGTGATTGCCTGAGTGAAATCATGGTCCATTTGTCAATAGAATCAAAGTGACCCTTGGACCCGACATTCCATGGTTAAATTGTATAAGAGAATGGTAATTGGTCACAGTTACTTTCAATAGACAGCCTCTGATTAGCAGTAAAAAGCATTTCTGTAAGTAGTGTTTGGTTGAATGATACCAGGATCATCTGTTTGCAACTACCATTACACCTGTTCATCTGAGTTTCCATGACAACATTCACAGGTCAAACTGTTTCTTCCATGCCTGCAGCATGTCCAGGCTGACCGAACCTCCTCCACAGACGACTGCCAGCACCGTCTTCACCTCGGCGAGGCGTTCCTCCTGCTGCAGAGCAGGGATGATGTTGCTGTATGCTGCTGCCAGTGCTGCCCCACACGCTGGTTCCACCAACATTCTATGGTCATCTGTAGACAAAAAAGACACAGAATGTCACCACTGTATGATATGTTGTTTTGTAAATCCGAAGTCAACAATATTCCTGCTACAGTCCATTTGATTTCATTTTAGACCGATGAATTGCTCACTAACACAAAATCCAATAACTGCAACAAACCTATATTCCGGCTATATAATGGCGGTAACACAAACCAGCGGTCATCTGGACAGAGAGGTTACAAATACAGTGAGGTGAGGTGAAATTGGGTTTAACGTCGTGCTTGAGAATATTTCGCTCATATGACGACGTGCATGCGTGTGTATGTGTATGTGCGGCTGCTTGTACTAGCCCAGACTGAAGCTGGTTTTATAGTGCTAGCCCACTGAGATACCATGCCGCGGTGAAGCATGAATACCCCACTCAGACACATTATACTGACTCCGAGCCGACCAGTCCTTGTTGTACCCATTAATGCCGAGCGCCAAGCAGAGACCAACAAGTACCATATTTTAACGTCTTTTGGTATGACGCGGTCGGGGATCGAACCCGCGACTTTCCGCTCTCTGGGTGGACGGTCTAACCACTACACCACGGAGGCGGTTCAAATACAGAGAGGACGGAGACAGAGAGGTTACACAGTACCACATCTATCAGATTTACATGTTTGTCTGATTCAAAAGTCTTCCGGCTCAATCAGTGCATTTATGCTAAAAGCCAGACATAGACTCTTCTTTTTATGCAAACTTCGCTCTTTCAATGTCAGTGTCAACAGTTTATCCTTATTTCAAGACTGCTTTGTTTGAAGTGTTTTAACTTTCCGTTTTCATGCTTGGTATGCATGTCTCTCTGTGCTGAACACAAACACAACTGTCATTTCTGCTAGAAAAATATGGAATATGAAATTTGATTATCTAAGAGTAGTGTATGAGGAAAGAGAATGAGGAAAGTACAGAGAATCATAGGAGGCTCCAGGAACTTTCAAAGGGGGGGTCAAACCTGCTGAACCCCCCTGAAACACCGCTTCCTCCCTCCTCCCCATTTTGCACACAAAACATTAACTTCAATGTGGTCTTTTGTCATTTTCAAAGGGGGACTGGGTACCCAACCGAACCCACCCCGCCACCCCACAAATTTCTCTTTGAGATAATGGTGTTGTGTGGTCGTGTGCATAGAGCCCAGGTCACAAATCAGGTGAACTTAAGCAACGTTGGTCACTGACAGTCCTTGGATGGGTGAGCGTGTTTGGCAGCTTGACTCCTGAGAGTTTCTAGGACTTGAGTCCTGCCCCACAACAAAGCACACATGACCCATGTGGTCTCACCTTAGGCAAGTGAGTGTGCTCAAAATTGCTTTAGTTCACCCAGCAGTGAATGGGTACCCGGTGGGATAAGTCATATGACTGTTAACCTCCAAAAGGCACCTTGGGTTAAAGGTCACATGCAATGTAAAACACAACTTTGCAGATTCTGATACCTTTTGATATGGACATACAGATACAACTCGTCAAAAATGCAAATTCAAGTTATAGAGTTGAAAAATAACATGATGAACCCCCTCCCAGCGAAATCGGAGTTCAAACGATTCACTAAATTCACCCCAGCTTGGGGTGAAAAGTGGTTTCAACAGCTGGGCTGCGCTCATAGCGCATGCACAGTGAATAGGTTCGCACAGCTTGGAAGCTGGATGTCCGGAATATAAGGTCGTGAGCAGGAGTAGTCTAATCAAAACAAATAGTAAATAATCTACTCGTTACATAAAAGAACCTTGCTAGGATCTAGATCTACTCAGCTATGTGTCAACCAGTGAGGCGTTCGACATTTCAAAACAGAAAACCTTCGCTGGCGGTGAATACTCGGTGAAGACTTTGGTGTGAGCTATTTTTCTAATGTTTTGTTGATATTTCTATATTTCTATATGTTTGTGATATAGATGTGCCTCTGTCACAGACAAAACTAAATGTCTGTTTAATTGACACCTATGTGTCTGCCTGCCTGTCTGCTAATGACAATATGCAATACACAACTTCGATCACTGACCACATGCAATTTGAACTTATCACCAATCAGGCCATACACCATAAACAAAACACATTGATTTATGGCTCGTGCACCCGAGTTCGGCCTCTGTCACATTATGTAATTACACAGACAGGCAGGTGTGATACTTGTATACATGACATGTTATGGTGTCTGTTGATTGCAAAAAGTTATACACAAAAAATGAGCATGTATTTACAAAACCCAACATCTCTCTATACACACACACACAATGGGGAGCAGGACAATTCCCACCCGGACAATCCCCACCCGGACAATCCCCACCTAGGACAATTCCCACCTAGGACAATTCCCACCCAGTTATTTTCACTATAATGATGAGGACAATTCCCACCCTCAAAGAAATTTGACTTTGACGAATTTTTCATTTTGATGTAATATTGACTTTGATAAAATTTTGACATTAAAAAATATTGACTTAAGATGACTTTTTTACTTTGATGAAATATCAACTTGATGAAATTTGAACTTAAGTGCAAACATAAGACCTATTTACTAAAATAACATTGATGATTTTGGATTGTGAGCAAGTGCTAGGCAGATCAAATGTTTATAAAACCAATTTATTTGAGCTTCGGTGCTACTGTCTTAAATATACATATCTTGAGATGAATGTGTTGATAAGCATGTGTGCTACTGCCTACATAAAACATACATACATACATCTTCAATTTTTATGGTGTCTTTAGAGTTAATGTTGTCTGAGGAATTTAGTTTTACAATACAGTTAAGCATTATCATTTTGTTATTTTGTTAGGTGCAGAAAACCAGGGCGTTCATCAAGGAGAAGGCAGAGACGTCAGAGGAAACTGCACAACAGATCCTGACTGCAGCAGCCATGTCAACATCAGACGGTGCCAGTGCCATGATGTCAGCTGTACCCGACCTGCGCCGGAACGTACGATGTCAGAGATGGAGAGTTGATGGATCACATCCCGAACATGCGGCTCCAGCCACTATGATCATCCCACACAATGAGCCATGAGTGCATGGGCCAATGAACCAGCCAATGAAAGTCCTCATTACACTTGAGTGCACACCCACCAACTCTGACTGGGCTTGGTATCCCAGGTGCTTCGTTTCGAGGGAAGTCAACCCAAGTACAAAATATTGCACTTTTGATTTGCGATTGTACGCTCATAAATTAGTTTATATGTTTTTTCATAATCAGCAATGTATATTATATGTCATGAATAAGTAATAAATGTGTTTTATTTCTGTTTGAATTTTTGGTTGCATGTGACCTTTAACCAGGGTCATAACGTCTCAGCACTTTGAGCATGCATAAGTGTGTGGATACAAGCGCTTTATAAATGTTCATGATTATTATTATCATAAAGTATTTATATTGTCTTCTATATATTGTGGCCATACAAACCAGTCGGACTCAAAGATTAATGGTCACAAAGAATCATAACATACAATTAGCATGGTCACAAACTGGCCCCTCATCCGCATGAAGTGTCTCGCGTGACAAGCTGAGGCTTAATTCTGCCTCGTAATCTGCATAGAAAAGAAGTGGATTTGCCTGTACAAATCCAACAGCTCTGCCTAAAAGGATTTTTAGCTTTCCAAAATGATATGCTGAAAACGATGATTTTTTTGGGTTATAGTCATTTTTAGTAAAAAAGTCAAAACAGAGTTTATAAATGATATACACAAAAACATTGCATTGCATTTGAAAACCCAGGTGTCATCAATGAATTTTGGTAAACTATTCATTACTTTTCACCCATATTTTGACTTTTTTGCCATATTTATACAGTATAATCGATAATCAAGATCACTGATTGTCTGACATTTCATCATGTTTAGTATAATCGATAATCAAGATAACTGATTCTGACATTTCATCATATTTAGTATAGTCGATTATAAAGATAATCAATTATCTGACATTTCATCATATTCAGTATAGTCTATTATCAAAATAATCAATTATCTGACATTTCATCATATTCAGTATAGACGATTATCAAGGTAATCAATTCTCTGACATTTCATCATATTTAGTATAGTCGATTATCAAAATAATCAATTCTCTGATGTTTCATAATATTCAGTATAATCGATTATCAAGATGATCAATACTCTGACACTTCATAATTAGTTCAAGATGTGATCTGAAGATTCAGTTATATGAGAGGTCCCTCCAGTCAGGCTGAAGCCTACTTCAGACATTCCAAGCAGATAAAGCCGACATGAGAGCAATACTAGACAACAGGCCATTATACCCTGGTTGTCTCCATACACACCTGCAAATCGGAGACAGGCGCTGATGGCTTCCTTGTCATCAACTACAACAGGCCATTATACCCTGGTTGTCTCCATACACACCTGCAAATCGGAGACAGGCGCTGACGGCCTCCTTGTCATCAACTACAACAGGCCATTATAACCCTGGTCATCTCCATACACACCTGCAAATCGGAGACAGGCGCTGACGGCCTCCTTGTCATCAACTACAACAGGCCATTATAACCCTGGTCATCTCCATACACACCTGCAAATCGGAGACAGGCGCTGACGGCCTCCTTGTCATCAACTACAACAGGCCATTATAACCCTGGTCATCTCCATACACACCTGCAAATCAGAGACAGGCGCTGACGGCCTCCTTGTCATCAACTACAACAGGCCATTATAACCCTGGTTGTCTCCATACCATACACACCTGCAAATCGGAGACGAGGCAGGCCGTCATCAACTACAACAGGCGACACCCCTGCAAAATCCCTTTTGTCATCAACTACAACAGGCCATTATAACCCTGGTTGTCTCCATACACACCTGCAAATCGGAGACAGGCGCTGACGGCCTCCTTGTCATCAACTACAACAGGCCATTATAACCCTGGTTGTCTCCATACACACCTGCAAATCGGAGACAGGCACACCTGAAATCGGAGACGGGCCCTCCTTGTCATCAACTACAACAGGCCATTATAACCCTGGTCATCTCCATACACACCTGCAATCGGAGACACCAACTACAACAGGCCATTATAACCCTGGTCATCTCCATACACACCTGCAAATCGGAGACAGGCCTGACGGCCTGTCATCAACTACAACAGGCCTCCCTTGTCATCCACTACAACAGACTGGATGTTGTGTTCCTTCTTCTGGTGAATCTCAAACGCACGTGAACAAACTGTCAGAGCTCCCAGACACTTGGCAACACTGGAATATAGTGCAGCAGTTGGTGAGAGGGCAAGAAGTGAATAATAAATTGTCAGATTTCAGTGTGGGATAAACTGATTGACTGAGTTAGGTTTTACGCCGCTTTTAGCAATATTCCAGCAACATCACGGCGGGGGACACCTGAAATGGGCTTCACATATTGTACCCATGTGGGGATTCGAACCCGGGTCTTTGGCGTGACGAGCCAACGCTTTAACCACTAGGCTACCCCACCGCCCCTGTGGGCTAAACAAAATGAAGCAATATTACACAATGCTAACTGTAGAGTATGAGTGAGTATGGTTTCATGCCACTTTTAGCAATATACCAGCAATGTCACTGTGGAGGATACCAGAAATGGAATTTACACATCGGGAATCGATTCCAATTTTTTTTTTGCATGTCAAGCAAATGCTAATCACTTGGCTACCCAACCACCCCTAACTGTGCAGTGAAGACAGACTAACATGTAGTCTCTGAATATACAAAATGTTGAAAGAAACAAATAATTCCTTTAAATTGAAAAGGAGCCCCAGTGGGATTGGTGATTCCTGAACCTGAGGAAACATAGACTTGCTTTAAACATGGACTTGAGCATTGCAGAAAGGGCTGGGCAGATGGGTAAATAATGCGTTTCAGGGGCTGTAAGAGACAAGAGAAGGCTGATGAATGACTAAGTTTGGCTGTATTAACATCCTTGCGTTTCCCAGGTTTCTTTTAAAACAGCTCATTGGTTGAAAAACAAACTATGGTATACATGTATCTCCTTAAATGAGAACCCGTGAAGGTCCGGGTTAGAATGAACCTTCAGTAACCCATGCTTGTCGTAAGAGGCGACTAATGGGATCGGGTGGTCAGTCTCCCTGGCTTGGTTGACACATGTCATCGGTTCCCAATTGCGCAGATCGATGCTCATGCTGTTGATCACTGGATTGTGTGGTCCAGACTCGATTATTTACAGCTGGAATATTACTGAGTGTAGCGTAAAACTAAACACACTCACTCACTCCTTAAATGAGGGATATTACTATTGGAAATACTTAAAATAGACACATGGGTAAAATTCAAGGGGTGGGACACATTCCAGATAATGTCTCTATATCACGTTCTTCCATCCGATCCCGTTAGTCACCTCTTATGACAAGCATGGATTGCTGAAGACTAATTTTAACCTGGATCTACATGGGTCATCTTTTATGCAAACCCCTAACATGTTTCTTGATTATTTTTGTCTTTCTCTCTCAAAACTGACAGACCACCTCCGTGGTGTAGTGGTTAGAGCGTCCGCCCGGAGAGCGGAAGGTCGCGGATTCGATCCCCAACCACGTCATACCAAAAGACGTTAAAATATGGTACTTGTTGGTCCCTGCCTGGCGCTCGGCATTAATGGGTACAACAAGGACTGGTCGGCTCGGAGTCAGTATAATGTGTCTGAGTGGGGTATTCATGTTTCACTGTGGCATGGTATCTCAGTGAGCTATCACTATAAAACCAGCTTCAGTCTGGGCTAGTACAAGCAGCCGCACATACACATACACACGCATGCACGTCGTCATATGAGCGAAATATTCTCAAGCACGACATTAAACCCAATTTCACTTCACCTCAAAGCTGACAAGAAACTAGGTAGTAGGTAGGACAAGGGTAGGTAGTGGGGAGAAACTTTTGTGACAGAGATATGATGAGTATCTACGCCACACTCAGCAATATTCCATCTTTATGACGGTGGTCTGTAAATAATCGAGTCTGGACCAGACAATCCAGTGAATCTACAGCATGAGCATCGATCTACACTATCGAGATATGATGACATGTCTCAACCAAGCCTGACCACCCGATCCCGTAAGTCGCCTCTTTACGACAAGCATGGGCTGCTGAAGATCAATTCTAACCCGGATCTTCATGGGTTTGTGCGCAGGTAGTAACAAGTGAGAAAGGCAATATTAATGACAGAGATATGACGAGTATGACAAGGGACATAATTCAGGCAAACAGTGGTTCAAACAGTAAACCCACCACGGATCTCAAATAAGAGCTCATTCAATTGCTGACTAGAGCTACGGATAACTTTTAAGGTCATTGAGTTATGTACCCACTTGTGTTCATCTCAATGGGATATCCTAATTTTCCAGTGAATAACCAAATAAATTGTACCCACCTCACTAAGCTCATTAGGGTATTTTGCCATTTTCCATAAATTGTAGAAATATGATAAAGTTTAAATGTTTGTTTAAGTATTCGTTATCTATATTTGAACTATAATATGAGAAACGATAAGAAAGATTGCAAGTTGCCAAGTTCATGTGTTGAAATAGAACCTCTCAATATACCTAAGTTATTTTATCTATCCACCAGTATGCAAGCTTAGATTTGACACTTTTGTGATCAACTTATTGAGTATTTACAAAAATTCAAGCATACTTGTACGCAGTGTGCGAAAGTTTCCAAATTTTGCTAGCCTGTCGGACTATCTATGCCTGAAAGCTACTAGCCCGAAATTTGAATGTAGAAAATAAGACAAATAGTACAAAAAGGTAACATATCATCATTTATCAGGCCATAATCTTGCATGATTTAAAAGTGTATTATAACTTAACAAATTGGAGAGAGTGTGATATTTAAAAAATGACCCCATGAAAATTCACTAGACAATCGGGCCAGTGACTGTGGAGATTTACTAGTCCCACTGGACTTTTACTAGCCACAGGCTAGTGGGCCAGTGGTTATTTCGTACACCGCTTGTACGCAATAGACTTATCTGTACCTCTGCTGACAAAGCAATATTTCAGCTATATCATGGCAGTCAGTAAATAACTGACTCTGGACTAGACAATCTAGTGACTGACATCATGAGCATCAATCCTTTTCAGGTAAACAAAGGGTAAACATTCTAACCAGAATCTTGATAGGTTTGTATTGGGAACTGTACAAGTAAGGGGTCGGATCATTTGGCATTCATAGGTGGTGAGAGTAGTATTTGGTATGGAGATAAGATAACATTTCATCTTTAGTTGCAAAACGAGATTTCTATATAAGCCTGAATAAGCCTATAAGAATAACTACAAGCTGGAAAATATTTTTTTGTGAACCACACTGCAGTTTTTGAGGATGACAATTTTTTTGTACATTTTCAACAATCTTAAGTGGTTTTATTTCAAGGACATTTAATTTAAAAAACAACAACCTAGGACCTCACCCCGTACTCCAAGAACATCAAATTGTCGCTATCCCTTATGTGCTAGCAAGTGTGTAAGCATCAGATCCTGAATAATTTTCATGATAATTTTATGCTTCTGTCTCAAAACTGACGAGTTGGCATTTCACTAGGTGACATGTTATATTCTTTACATCTCCAGCTTCATATTCCCTGCACATAAAAACTTTGCTTGAGTTGCCACTTAACTCACCTGACAAGGTGTTCTTGTTGTCACTTGTTTGTTGTCTAAGGCTACACACAAGAATATTACAGCTATATTACGACAGCTGGTAACAAACTGAGCCAGACAATCCAGCACCTGATATTTACTTAAAATACAATGGTTTCTATGTTACATGTGTGTTGACTTAAACAATTTTTGTTGAAAAATGCAAAGCGGGACATTTCCCACCCAAAAATCTGTAAAACAAACAACAGAATTTTTTTCTAGGTCCTGACATGAAAGATTCATGGAAAAGTATCTGAAATATACAAGTCAGATTGCTGTGTTTGCTTGTGGAAAAGGTTTAAAAGTTTTGTGCTCAAAAAGATCCAGGCAGTTGGGTAGCCTAGGCGTTAAAGTGTTTGCTCTTTATGCTGAAGTCCTGGTTCAATTTCCCATGTGGGTACAAATGTTTGAAGCCCCTGCTGTGAGTGAGTGAGTGAGTTTGGTTTTACACCATTGTACCCATGTAGGGAATTGAACCCGGGTCTTCAGCTTGACAAGCGAACGCTTTAACCACTAGGCTACCCCACCGCCCCTCCCTATCATTTTGCTGGAACATCGTGGCATTAATCCATATTCTCTCACTCAAAAGATCCTGCTTGGCCCCCTTATAACCTTGTAAGGTACCCATGAAGATGCGGGACACAATTGGTCTTCCGCAACCATATGCTTGTCATAAGAGGCGACTAACGGGATCGGGTGGTCAGGCTCGCTGACTTGGTTGACACGTGTTTGTCATCGGCTCCCAATTGCGCAGATCAATGCTCATGCTATTTAACACTGGATTGTCTGGTCCAGAGTCGATTATTTTCAGATCACTGCCATATAACTGGAATATTGCTGAGTGTGGCGTTAAACAAACAAACAAACAAAACAAACAAAACAAACAAACAAACCTTGTTATGTCTGGGAGTGTGGTTAGCTTCCCTGCTTTGATGGCTGCATTGAAACAGTTAGCTCCGTCTGTTTCCATGGCAATGACCGGTACATCCTTCCACCCGACCTTCCACATGCCTTGGATAATCCCAACCATGAGCCCTCCGCCTCCGACGCTCGTCAGCACAACGTCAGGTCTGACCGGCATCTGAGACGCAGCTTCCACAATCATACTCTCATGTCCTTCCCTGTACAAAGTAATGAATTTTTCAATTTTTCCATTTCTAATTATTTATGACATCCTGAAACAGTACTAAAAAGGTGTTTCATCATAATTGTTGTTGCCGACAAACATTACAGTTGGTTGGTTGGTGTTTAACGTCATACTCAGCAGTATGCCAGCTATATGGCAGAGGTCTGTAAATTATCGAGTCTGAACCAGACAATCCACTGATAAACACCATGAGAATCAATCTACGCAATTGGGACACGATGACAACAAACATTAAGGATTGATATTTGAAATGATATGTAGGCTTAAGAACTATGTTTTAACGGACTGGTCATTTCAAATAATACCACTGTTAAGGATATATCCTCTGGCCTAATCTATTTACACTTCTTAGATAAAAAATAGCATATTCTCCAAACATTTTGATAATAATAGTTCAATTCTCCAAATGAGTTGGATTTCAAGGTCAGGGTAAGATGGATTCATACTATCTGTGAAACATTAGGGTATGTCATGCTGAGCAGGAGATTATACTGGCTCTGCTATGGTTATTGGCATTTTAGGCCTAACAAAATGTTGTGGTTTTGATTACCCGATCAACCCTTGAATCCTGGTGCAGACCCTATTTTTTTTAAGCAGACTGAATAAAATAAGTTTTCAGACACCATTGTTTTAAACCGGCACCGACAGATATCTGTCATTCTGATAGAAAAAGTCGAAATGATGGACACAACCTGATTGAATAAACAATTACACATTGATACATGTGTTATTAGTTTGTACTTTCCTTCTATAAAAAATGTAAAAAAATATTCCTACCTAGTAGTATATACAATGATACTATCATTGTGTATACTACTTACCTACCTACCCTAAATTTTAAAGAGGTGTAATCGGAACCACAACATTTTTTTAATTTGACCTTATGAACGTTTCTATTCCACTGTGCTAGCAACAACAACTAGAGTTACCTTTTCCTGTTTGCGCTCATGCACACACAGCATGAACACTTGTTCCCCTCATGAGAAGCACTTTTCGCATAAAATTACTACCCTGCAATACACGTCAATGTGTGTACGTCGGTAATAAAGAAGAAAGAATACAGCTTGTCTATGTTTCGCCGTCATTGGGTACGTTTTCATATGCACTGGCTATTACCAATCAAAAGACTTCTTATTTACCTAAAGGTTAATAATATTTTCTTCTTTCTTCGCAAAATTTCAGATAGACAGCCATATAATAAGACTGACTGACTGAGTTTGGTTTTACGCCGCTTTTAGCAATATTCCAGCAACATCATGGCGGGGGACACCAGAAATGGGCTTCACACATTGTGTCCATGTGGGGATTCGAACCCGGGTCTTCGGCGTGACGAGCCAACTCTTTAACCATTCGGCTACCCCACCGCCCCCCATATAACAAGAACAATATAGGTCTGTGTGCTGCCTCGCTCGGCAATATTTCTGCTAGATAAGGAGATCTGTAAATAAGTCTGGACCAAACAAACCAATGAAATTGTGACTAACGCCAATGTTGAGAAATGGAGTCACTAAGTGTGGCCAGCTGACAAGCAAAGGTTGCTGGGGAACTATACAATGAATGAGTTTGGTTTTATGCCGCTTTTAGCAATATTCCAGCAACATCACTGCAGGGGACACCAGAAATGGGCTTCACACATTGTACCCATGTGGTGAATCGAACACGTGTTGTCGGCATGATGAGCAAACGATTTAACCACTAAGCTACCCCACCGGCCCTGGGGAACTATACTATATCAGAAAAACTATAGTTTGGATTCAAATATGTCAGGATATTTTTTTAACAAAATATGTGTGAAATGAGTGTTAACTTACCAAATATCAGGATGGTCGAATGGATGAACATATTCAGCACCTGGAAAACAGTTTAAGCAACATTAGAAATGAACAGTTTGTCAGTGGGAAGTGGTAGGTCAGGTGAGTGAGTGAGTGAGTGAGTGAGTGAGTGAGTGAGTGAGTGAGTGAGTGTGTGTGAGTGAGTGAGTGAGTGAGTGAGAGTGAAATTAAACCCATTATCCAATAAGTCAGTTAAAACATTATTTTCTTCTCTTATAACACACCCAACAAAATTGTATCTATAAATAACCAAGTACCTTACAATCCAATGACTGACATCATGACTGACTGACTGAGTTTAGTTTTACGCGGCTTTTAGCAATATTCCAGCAATATCATAGCGGGGACACCAGAAATGAGCTTCACACATTGTACCCATGAGGGGAATCCAACCTGGTTTTTCTCCGTGATGAGCGAACGCTTTAACCACTAGGTTACCCCACCACCCCAACTGACATCATGAGCTTCAATCCATTGGTATATGTTGACATTCATCAGTACTAGCATTGATTTTATAACGAGAGGGGTAAAAGAAGCACAAAGACCAGCACTTGAAATTCCAGACAAATGAACAGACATTGAACATTGGTAGAAGCAGCTGTAAAATATCTATATTCAGCTAATATCCTGAAGCTCTTTGTGCCTTTAACTCCCTCACAATTATATAATATAATCCTTTTCCAAAAGGGATTGTAAGCATGTTTGTTGAGTTACTACCATAGAGTCACAAACCTAAAGGTGTTCTTTTATCAATCCAGAAATATTTTAAAATTACATCAGCATGTCAATAGTTTTCATGCTGAAACATGTTTGTATGTATTTCCTGTCTCTGCTCGTACCAAGGTATTGATAGTAAGGTGTGATGTTGGGACAGACATTGGCATGTATTTCCTGTCTCTGCTCGTACCAAGGTATTGATAGTAAGGTGTGATGTTGGGACAGACATTGGCATGTATTTCCTGTCTCTGCTCGTACCAAGGTATTGATAGTAAGGTGTGATGTTAGGACAGACATTGGCATGTATTTCCTGTCTCTGCTCGTACCAAGGTATTGATAGTAAGGTGTGATGTTGGGACAGACATTGGCATGTATTTCCTGTCTCTGCTCGTACCAAGATATTGATAGTAAGGTGTGATGTTGGGACAGACATTGGTATGTATTTCCTGTCTCTGCTCGTACCAAGATATTGATAGTAAGGTGTGATGTTGGGACAGACATTGGCATGTATTTCCTGTCTCAGCTCGTACCAAGATATTGATAGTAAGGTGTGATGTTGGGACAGACATTGGTATGTATTTCCTGTCTCAGCTCGTACCAAGATATTGATAGTAAGGTGTGATGTTGGGACAGACATTGGCATGTATTTCCTGTCTCAGCTCGTACCAAGATATTGATAGTAAGGTGTGATGTTGGGACAGACATTGGCATGTATTTCTTGTCTCAGCTCGTACCAAGATATTGATAGTAAGGTGTGATGTTGGGACAGACATTGGCATGTATTTCCTGTCTCAGCTCGTACCAAGATATTGATAGTAAGGTGTGATGTTGGGACAGACATTGGCATGTATTTCCTGTCCCAGCTCGTACCAAGATATTGATAGTAAGGTGTGATGTTGGGACAGACATTGGCATGTATTTCTTGTCTCATCTCGTACCAAGATATTGATAGTAAGGTGTGATGTTGGGACAGACATTGGCATGTATTTCCTGTCCCAGCTCGTACCAAGATATTGATAGTAAGGTGTGATGTTGGGACAGACATTGGCATGTATTTCTTGTCTCAGCTCGTACCAAGATATTGATAGTAAGGTGTGATGTTGGGACAGACATTTGCATGTATCTCCTGTCTCAGATCGTACCAAAATATTGATAGTGAGGTGTGATGTTGGGACAGACATTGGCATGTATTTCTTGTCTCAGATCGTACCAAGATATTGATAGTGAGGTGTGATGTTGGGACAGACATTGGCATGTATTTCCTGTCTCAGCTCGTACCAAGATATTGATAGTGAGGTGTGATGTTGGGACAGACATTGGCATGTATTTCCTGTCTCAGCTCGTACCAAGATATTGATAGTAAGGTGTGATGTTGAGACAGACATTGGCATGTATTCCTGTCTCAGCTCGTACCAAGATATTGATAGTGAGGTGTGATGTTGGGCCAGACATTGGCATGTATTTCTTGTCTCAGCTTGTACCAAGATATGGATAGTAAGGTGTGATGTTGGGACAGACATTGGCATGTATTTCCTGTCCCAGCTCATACCAAGATATTGATAGTAAGGTGTGATGTTGGGGACAGACATTGGCATGTATTTCCTGTCTCAGCTCGTACCAAGATATTGATAGTAAGGTGTGATGTTGGGACAGACATTGGCATGTATTTCCTGTCTCAGCTCGTACCAAGATATTGATAGTAAGGTGTGATGTTGGGACAGACATTGGCATGTATTTCCTGTCTCAGCTCGTACCAAGATATTGATAGTAAGGTGTGATGTTGGGACAGACATTGGCATGTATTTCCTGTCTCAGCTCGTACCAAGATATTGATAGTAAGGTGTGATGTTGGGACAGACATTGGCAAAAACTGATTGACTGTTGTTTAACACTGCCATTGTTCCAGCTTTTGTTTTTTACATCAATATGTAAATACCCTGATAGCGATTCTGGACCCAACATTGAACGACATCCAAGTGATTCTGGACCAGAGAATCCAGTTTATGTTTGGTTTGTTGGTTGTTTAACCTCACTCAGCAATATTCCAGCTATATGGCGCCAGTCTGTAAATAATAGAGTATGAACCACACAATCCAGTGATAAACAGCATGAGCATCGATCTGAGCAATTGGGATATGATGACATGTGGCAACCAAGTCAACGAGTCTGACCACCTGATCCCATTAGTCTGGGCTCCTGAAGACCAATTCTGGCTGGGATCTTCACGGGTCAGTTTATGATGTCATGAACATCCATACATGCATCAAATAGGTCACTGAGTTGACTATTTAGTCACCCCTTTGTCTTGTACAGATTACTTTTCACCAATATGTGTAGCTGGATTCCTCAGTTGTTCAAAGGATGGCACAACATGGCCGAACAAGGACAACATGGCACACCATGGCCGAACAAGGACAACACGGCACACCATGGCCGAACAAGGACAACATAGCCAAACAAGAGTTTGTACTGTCAATCACACTCATAAGAGTACCGTTTCAGATCATCTTTCTAAATATAAAAACAACATCTTGCAAGAAAAAAACCAAGCTGATGGCTGCTCTAAAACATACAACTTTGTGTTTAAGAATTAAAGTTTGAAATCTTTACTTTTTTATTGTTTTTGTTTTTTCAAAAATTTAACTGCAGAACTTTTTGCAGAATTTCGAAAAATGGGAAGCAGAATTACTTAAATTTACTTAAATACACTGCGGAATTCTTAAAATGTGAAGACTCATGGTGAACGGAAGCTTATAAATCCGACAGCAAGTCATGTTGGATGTAAAAATTGTCACTGTTTAAACTAATAAACTTAAAGTTTTTGGAATGTCACATATAACTGACACTTCTTTTCTTGATGAAATACTCTCTGGGGTCAGAGGGTGTCCTCTAGTGACATATTAGAGTCACCATCTGTAACAGGTTTAGTGTGTCATGTGCTTTCATGTATTATGAAGCATGTGCTGTTCTACAACAAATCCACTAGATGGAGTGGAGCATGTCTTGGGTTGTCCCCATCTCCATGCAGTTGACATCCAAATTCATTACTGAGAGTCCCCAGGATTAAATAATAATAAATAATAACATAATTGGCCATTTACTTAGCGCTGACTTCTACGCTGCAGGGGGGCGGTGGGATAGCCTAGTGGTTAAAGCATTCGCTCGTCACGGCGAAGGACTGGGTTAAATTCCCAAAATGGGTGCAGTGTGTGAAGCCCATTTATGGTGTCCCCCGCGGTGATATTGCTGGAATATTGCTAAAAGCGGCATAAAACCATACTCACTCACTCACTCACTACGCCGCAGGGACATGCTCTAAGAGCATGATGGGCATTATTACCCCGGATAACTAAAGCTGCCTGTGAGGCGCTAGAAGGTTAATAGTCATATGACATATCCCACCGGGTACCCATTTTCTGCTGGGTGAACAGAGGCAATTTTGAACAAACTCACTTGCCTAAGGTTAGACCATATAGGTGCTTTGTTGTGGGGCAGAAAGTCCTAGAAGCTCTCAAGAGTCAAGCTGCCAAACATGGTCCCCCATCCAAGGACTCTCAAAGACCAGCGTTGCTTAACTTCCCCTGATTAGTGACCTGTGCTCTATGCACAAGACAACACACCACTGGTTGACAGAGATATGTGGATGTATGTAACAAATCAGGAATTACACTTTCTTAGTAGAGTTTTCTTTCTTTGTTTAATATTGCACTCAGCAATAAATAATTGAGTCTGGACCAGACAATCCAGTGACCAACAGCATGAGCATCAATCTCTGAGTTGGGATATGATAACATGTGTCAACCAAGTCAGCGAGCCTGACCACCATCCTGTTAGTCGCCTCTTACGACAAGCATGGGTAACTGAAGACCAATTCTAACCCGGACCTTCACAGGTCTCCTCAGTAAAGTACAAAGTATAGTACCTTTTTGGATTAAGCAAGCTGTGTCAAATTACACATGTCAGAAAGTTCACAAAGCAGAGACCTACACTACCAGTTTTATGGAAGCCTTGGTGGCTGATTTTGGTTGAAGCTCTGACCTTGCGATGGGACTCAACCAAACAGTATGGGAATTTGCACTCTGCTTAAAGCTTAGATTCAACCAACAAAAGAAACAATTAAAACACAATTATCATTTATCGTATGATATACATTACTGATTATAAAAATGCAACTAAACAAAATTATAAGCATACAATCGCAAATCAAAAGTCCAATATTTTTTACTTGCATTTACTACCCTCGAAACGAAGCACCTGGGATACCAGCCCCAGTCAGAGCGGGTGGGCGTGCACATAAGTGTAATGAAGGCTTTCATTGGCTGGTTCATTTGCCTATACGCTCAGGGCTCTTTGTGTATGTATAGGTATCCCGGTTTAAGCCGCACGAACCTATTCACTGTGCACGCACTATGTGCGCAGCGCAGCACAGCTGTTGAACCACTTTTCACCCCAGCAGGGATTGTTTTAGTGAATTGTTTGACCTCCGATTTCACGGGATATTTTTCATCACGTTATTTTTCAACTCTATAAGTTGAATTTGCAGTTTTGATAATTGTTTCTGTAAGTCCATACCGAAAGGTATCAGAATCTGCAAAGTTGTGTTTTGGGTTGCACGTAAGCTTTAAGAAAGTGTAATTCCAAAGAATTTTTTTTGTTAAATTTATAACTTTCTGAAAAGCATTGTGTGATTCGTTGTTTTTGTTTATCAGTATCACAGTAGTTGTTTTTTGTGATAACATTAATGTTTGAGTGACTGAATACGGTTCTAGGCTGCTTTGACAATATTCCAGCAATATGATGATAAGGGAGACAACTAGTGGGTTTTACACACTGCACTCACGTGTGGAATCGAACCTGGGCCTTCAGTGTGACAAGCAAACACTTCAACTACTAGGATTTCTATCTGCCCCTTAAATGAAGAAATACTCACACAATGGTGAAGTATTAGGACTTGCTATTGATACAGATTGTAGAGATCGATAATCTCTAACATAGTATCGATCGAGTATCGACATATACCAGAGATATGTTGAGTGGTGACATATTTTTGTCCTAAACATAATTAAAAATCAGCCAACGAATAAAGACATAACCCAGTATGTTGTGTGAGAAAATTAAAACTATATTTCAACACAAGAGTTTATGTTCGGTATAACCGATGCCACAATCTTCATAATGATAATCATTAACTGTTCCCATTCATGATACTTCTTTTTTTTCGATTTGTTTTAACCAGCTCTATGAAATACTGACCTGGCTTAGATGCAAGTTCTTTGGCAAACTTATTGGCGTGGTCGAACACCTTTCCATGGACTAGTACCTCTGCTCCCTGGAATTGACATAAACACCTCGTCCAACATGGCATAAAGGACCAGTCCCTCCTGGATTCTGTGACAAATCTTTAAGAATTCCGCAGCAAATTTAAGTTAATCCTGCATCCCATTTTTCAAAATTCTGCAAATGATTCTGCAGTTAAAAGCACACACAAAATAATGCAATTTCAATCTTCAAAAGTGAGTGGTGTTTGTGTGTGGTGGGGTAGGGAGGTGAGGTGAAATTGGGCTTAACGTCGTGCTTGAGAATATTTCGCTCATATGACGACGTATATTCGTGTGTATGTGTATGTGCGTCTGCTTGTACTAGCCCAGACTTAAGCTGGTTTTATAGTGCTAGCCCACTGAGATACCATGCTGCAGTGAAGCATGAATATCCCACTCAGACAAATTATACTGACTCCGAGTCGACCAGTCCTTGTACCCATTAATGCCGAGCGCCAGGCAGGGACCAACAAGTACGATATTTTAACGTCTTTTGGGCGGACGCTCTAACCACTATACCACGGAGGCGGTCGTGGGGTAGGGAGTGTGTGGTGTGGTGTGGTGTGGTGGTGGTGGTGGTGGGTGTGTGTGTGTGTGGACCAGTCAGAGAATAAAAATTAAGTATTATTTTCTGATTGGTCAGTTATTGTAGGGGAGGTTGGGGTGCCATGGAATTTTGGCTTTATTGTTGGTGGTGTTGGTGGGAGGGGTGGGTGGGTGTGTGTGTGTGTGTGAGAGTTAGAGAGAGAGATGAATTGTTAGAGTTGGGGATACATTCAGTACAGTTAGCTTCATTTTCTTCTTTTTTTTCATAATTTAACCCTACCCCACACTTAGCGTGGTGAGGATAGTCTGTAAATCTTATGTCTGGATCTGACAATCCAGTGATTATAATCGTAAGCATTGATCTATGCAACAGGTCTTTAATGGGAATGTGTGACATAAAGATATACTAGAATATTCAGGCAATATAACCTAGGTTGAAAAAAGTTCTGTCTAGATGACAGAATTGGATTAATTTCAGTTTCGAGGCACAAAAATTTGTAGGACAGATATATGATGAAATTTAATATTTATGTCAAGCAAAAACCTTATACACTCACGGCCAGAACAGTATATATTCTGTCTCTGAAGACAAGCAGCTCTTAATTTTCCTCTGACTGAAGGTATTCCTTTAAAAGTATCATTTTGTTTAAACCTAAAATCAATTGTGCCAAAATGTTATGTAGATTGTATCTCCATTTTGTTCCTAATTAGAAGATAAAGCTACTCTGTTTTCAATTTTGCGTGAAGTTTTAAATTAAACATTTAGCGGTCTTAAATCAACGATAAAGGACCGCAAATTTGAAAACAGAGTAGCTTTATCTTCATTCTAGCACGACTGATAAGCGTTTTAAAACCGAACTGTTTGGCGCGCAAGAACACAAGGCACGAAGGGGCCTTTTTCCTGGAAATCGCTTGGAATCGTCACGTTGAGGGACAGGTTGTGTAATGCAAAAAATGAGACATTTTCAACAACATAAATGCTTTATTTCAGGATGTATTGTGTTGTAACAAGTAGCATACATAAATTAAAAAAAATACAGTTTATACTGTGAGCAAGTACAATTATTTGATTTTTCTCAAGCAAAATATTGATCTCCCCTACTGTATGACAATCGACTCATCCCAATTCAAGCCGTGAAGTCACTAAGTTTAGTCGCCGCTAACTTTATTCACGGAAATTCTTTATAACTGTTGATAACCACCCTACTATTCCCAATTTGGAAAAGACCTGACATGCCACGTTTTATGTGGGAAACATGGACAGTGGAAGTGGAAGGACTGGGCATTACGGCCGGGACCGAAGTGGTCATGTTAGGACGTGTGGGCCGACGTGTATTGTTGACGTCAACACATGTAGATCTGGACCCGGTTTGAATATATACTGTCGCTTTTGCGCTGATGACGGATTTTCCAGCTTCATAGTTTCTTCACTGGAATTAGGTTCAAGAAATTCTCCTTCAAACCATTCGCTTTTTCAGGGGTGGAAATAACTTTAAAATTGCTAGTGTACTCCGGTACAGTGGCACATGTAAAATCACTTGCCCTGATAATTTTTCCACTATACCGGCAGTTTTCTTGTTGATTTTTAAAAATAAACAACATGAATAACATTGGAAAGTCAACTGGACACCGGTCCAGTGTGATATACCAATTTGCTTGCCCGACGGGCAATGGGTTATTTCCACCCGTTTTTACTTTAAAAAAAAACACCCAAAGATGCTGCCTAGATAGAAATTGCCAATGTCCGACATGTTTGTTTACAAACAATAGGGTCAACGAGTTCGTTGTATTCATACGCAGTGAATCGGTCACTTTAATTAGCGGTCTTAAAATGGCATTTAAGTACGGTTTTGATTAGCTCTCAGGCAATCAGAATCGAGAATAGAAGTTCTAATTTAATGACTAAATCTTCAGATATATGGTTAAAATGGTTATTTGTTATAAGCACCCAGCTTTTTTGAGAATCAGTAGAGTGCTAACATTCAGCGAAATCATGGTATAAATGTGACATACCAGTAGTCTCAGATTGTCGGCAACTTGTGCTGATGTACTCTCTGGGAGGACGATAGTTGCTTTAGTCTTCAGCTTCATCGCTGCGTACGCTGCGGCCATGCCTGCATTGCCCCCTGATGCACAGACTAAGTGTTGACAGTTTCGTTCCCTCACAGCCTGAAGACAAGCAGTTAGTTAATGACTGACCTCTTAGAGATTAATCATGGTGAAACAATGTAAAGTGAGGGATAAATATAAAAATACAATGAAAGACATTTCAGAATCAGAGTGCAAAATAGCTGCTTGCCTGTTGGCCCACAGCTAGTAAACTTTCTGTTGGGCCAGAGAATCTCGAATGTTTTCAGTCCGACAAGCTAGATTGTGAATATTTAATGGCGATTGTTCCTTGCTATGTACATTTCAGTCAATCTCAATCTTCAGCTAGTGAAATTTGAGGTTGGATAGTAACTTTCAAGGCCAGCTAGCCACCTGGTAAGAGTTTTCAATTATTTCATACTAGTGGTGGTCCGACTAATTGAAATAATTGAAGATTTGTCACAATGACCAAACAACCAAGCAATTGATCATGTTTTCTCATAATCAAACACAAACAGTTTTGGAACACTTGTTTGCCGTAACAATATTTTTCACATGGTTGGTTTTGTCTGTTACATTTCATTCTCACTACTAGCTCATTCCAAGTCATCATTGAACTTATCTTACAGAGCCCAGGAAAGCTATCTCTGGACAGTGAAAGACGAATATGTGGCGCAAGAGTAATGGTAAGTTTTCCCTCGCATTTTTATTATTTTGCAAGTATAACAGGTTTTGCCATTTGGCAGATGGGTCTAGAAATGTACAAATCTTTCTGTAATAGCTTGATACCCTCTCTATTTATTGCAATTGTGTGTTAAGCGAGGGCACCCTCCTGAGTGTCGAAACAAGATCACGGAAAATAATCGTTTCAACACGAAATATGACAACCTCATCAGCAGACACACCATTTTTTTGCTGTCAATTCTTATATATTGTTATTTTAGGTCTTCATTCAGAGTTTAGGCTTAAATCCGTCAGTATTGTTTCGGTTATTGTCGAAAAATCAAACTGTACATTGTATATGGAGTTGCTCACATTTAGCAAACAAACTGTCCATTGCGTTGTGATTTTACTGTCCAGGAGTTGACAGTTTGTAGTTTTAACTGTCATGTCATCAAACAGTATTCTAGAGATATTTGTTGTGAAGAAGAATGTTTTGATGTAGACATGCCTACCTAGCGTATTTTGGCGTATTTATTACGATTTTGTATGATCAAGTACGATTGTACACCCATATTGCAGTTTGTTCGCCAGGGATTTAATGTAAAAAAATCCCCAACATGTACGATCAGAAGAACAAATATACATCTACCCCAGGTATAACCAAGTCCTGGGCCCCGTTTCACAAAGCTCTCGTAAGCCTAAAATCTCGTACTTACGCATTCGTACTTACTATACTGCAGCAATGACTTACGATAGTTGTAGCGCTACGAAAGCTTTGTGAAACGGGGCCAAGTTTATTCCAAAGTATGTACATTGTTCATACTATCATTCAGATATTAGCATTGCACATTCGGGTAAAGCACATCACTAAGCATTTGAAAACCAAGGGACATCTAACCAATGTTGAATGAGCGAAATCAAATACAATAATGACTTCCTTTGTTCCAACCGTTGGCACCAGCGATATGGACAAGTCAATGGCCGTTGTTAAAGCAGAAATCCAAATGACAGGCGAGCAGCAGCCAGACCAGCTACAACTCCAACCACAAAGGGACGGGACAGCTGCAGTCAGGCACTCCTGCGTGCGGCCATGGTTCAAAGAGGAGAGGGGATAACAGTTTGGACAGTTCTCCAGCCTCCTAGACACCCATTTAAGGCTGGAGGATCCAGTAGCGTTCCAAAACTACACAAGGTTAACGCCACAGCTTTTCCATGACGTCCTGCAGATGCTGGCCCCAGCAATCGATAGGGAAGTCACCAGTTTCAGGCAGCGTCTTTCACCTGGACTGAAACTGGCAGTCACACTTAGGCACCTTGAGGCTGCAGACAACTATGGGTCCCTTGCGTATGCCTTCAGGTGTGGAGTGGCCACCATCTCAGAAATAGTTCCAGAAGTGTGACAGGCAATTGTGTTTAGCCTACCTGTGATCCCTGAAGCCTGGACAGCCGTCACTAACCAATTTGAACACAGATGGATATATCCCACGCCATTGGGGCCCTGGATGGCGAACACATTGCCACCTCAAACTTGCAGTCAATTACAAGGGCGTCTTTTCGATACCACTCCTAGCTCTGATTGATGCAGATTACAAGTTTGTGTGGATTGAGCTTGGTAGAAAAGGACACATGTCAGATGCTAAGATATGTGGTGACTCGGGCTGGTCAACGGCATGGAATAGGAAGCCATAGGACTTCCCCCCACCCTGCCATCTGACTGCAAGCCCTGATGACCACCAAGACATGCCCTTCTTCATCCTTCGCACTCAGGAACAACCTCATGAAGCCATAGAGCAGAAGGATGTCCAGGAAGGAGAGGACTCTCAAGAGGGAGGAGAATCGTTGGGATCCTGGCCAATAGATTCAGGTGTTTCCTCATGACTCTAGGGCAGAAGCCCAATACTGTGAAGGATATAGTGGAGGCAGCAGTGGCTCTGCAAACCTATTGAGGCTGAGGCATCCAGGCATTGTTGCACAATAGGCAAACCATGAGGATGAAAACCACCATGTCATCCCAGGGGCATGGAGGACCAAGTGGACTGGCTAGATGTGGATGAACCTCCTGCACCTCGCAGCCACATCAGCTAGAGCTAATGCGGTGGATCAGAGGGAAGTCCTAAAGGCGCGCGGTAATTCTGATTTCCAGTACATATATGGGCGCAAGAACTCGTAACAGATCATGAGCGTCTGTGTAAAATACTCGTATCTACTCGTATCTACTCGCATTTACTCGTATCAACTCGTATCTGCTCGTGAGTCATTCGTGTCAGGAAGTGAGCAGTGAGACCAGACAGAGCGTCACAGATCGTGGGGAGATCGTGGCGGATCGCAACACATCTCAACAGAGCGTGGTGTTTGTCTTGTCCACGATTTATTTCGACCACTACGATTTCTAAGCACAATTAGAGGGCGATATGTTGCGCTTTGTTATGGTGCGATGATCACGATTGACAATAAAATTGTGTTGATCGTAGAAATGTTTTTAACTGTCCAACATTTTTCTACAATCAACACGATTGCCACGACTGACCTCAGGATCAGATAAGATTTGATAGAATTGCCATGATTAGTCCACAATTAAGACCACGATTTCAATCGTGGCCCAAATCGTTATGGTGTGAACATAGCATTTAAGGGGACCAATCACAACAAATACCGTTTCCATTGCCAAATCTGTGGAAAAGGGTATCAACAACTGTGGAATTTCAACAGTTCATGCTCTAAAATCCATGCAACAACATGGACAGTCACTTCAACGTAAACATTCAATGCAATGGACAGTTTCAACACTGTGTGTCTGCTGATGAGGTTGTCATATTTCGTGTTGAAACGATTATTTTCCGTGATCTTGTTTCGACACTCGGGGAGGGTGCCCTCGCTTAACGCACAATTGCAATAAATAGAGAGGGTATCAAGCTATTACAGAAAGATCTGTACAAATCTAGACCCCTCTGCCAAATGGCAAAACCTTATATACTTGCAAAATAACAAAAATGCAAGTGAAAACTTACCATTACTATTGCGCAACATGTTCGTCTTTTACTGTCCAGTGAGGAAATGGAGTTGCTTTGGGGGCAACTCCACATTTCGTGTGGACAGCGCTTCCACCCTGTGGTAATGTTCCTAACGTACTAGTCATCCTGTAAAGATGTGAAATTTGTAAATGCATTTTGTGCAATTTGAAAAAAACCCCGAAAGAATGACATGATTTTTTTGGATTTTTTTGTGCATTAAGAAACATAACAAGGAAAATTGGATGAATGACTCTGACCAATTATTGTCGATGATTCATCAGTTGTAATGAACCAATCATCAATTATGAGATTTTAACCAATTCCCAACACTATTTCATACACTGTTCACAATTCTGTTTAGTTCCTCAAACATTGTCTGAATACATTGCCAGTTCTGACATGACCATGAAATTGATCAGTTTTCATGTTCACTAAACGGAGAGCGGAAGGTCGTGGGTTCGATCCCCGGCCATGTCATACCAAAAGATGTTAAAATATGGTACTTGTTGGTCCCTGCCTGGCTCTCGGCATTAATGGGTACAACAAGGACTGGTCGGCTCGGAGTCGGTTTACATACCATTTTGATACTGATTATAAGGGTCAAGTCATGGCCAGTACAAGCAGCCGCACATGCACATGAATGTATGTTGCAGGGGTGGAAATAACCCATTGCCCAACGTCCGAGTCCAGTGTTTTTTCTGTCGGGCAAGCAAATTCGTATATCACACTGTACCGGCATCAAGTTGACTTTCCAATGTTAATTATGTTGTTTATCTAAAAAATCCAACAAGAAAACGGTCGGTATAGTGGAAAAATTATCAGGGAAGTGATTTCACATGTGCCACTGTACCGGAGTACATTAGCAATTTTAAAGTTATTTCCACCCCTGTGTTGTCATGTAAGCGAAATATTCTTAAGTATGACATTAAACCCCATTTCACCTCACCTCATTTCACATGTTCACTAAAATTTTCAGTTGATATTATCGTGACATTTGTCAAGTCTCTGAATTTATTACTTGTAAATAACCAAATTTATTAGTTGTCATGACCATGAAATCGGCTTGTTGTCATGGTTACTTAATTTATCAGTTGTCAATCAATTTATCAATTGTCATTGTGCTAAATTTGCCAAAATTTGTGTCACCTAAATTTGTAACTGTCCACCAAATTCAGCATTAAAATATAATTCACAGACCAACTATTCTCAAATCTCCTTGCTAAAATGTCTTAAGAGAAATGGGAGTTGCTGTAAAACTGTTTATTATAAGAAGGAATTCAGGCAATTTGTGTTAGCAGTAAACAACAATAAAACGAACAATTTTCTTGTTCTGAACACCTCTTAAATTCAAATGTTCTTCTGTCTTGCTCAAGTGTCATTTGTCAAAGTGTCAGAAGTGTATCCAAA